GTGGGGGCCGTTGGCCCGCAGGCCCGGCCGTCCTCAGGGCCCTGCTGTTTCGGTGTGGCGAGCGCGCCGTGTTTGAGCCTTGGCGGCTGGAAGACAGCTAAGAGAGTTACTCTTCTTGTAGGTGCAAAAGTACAGGAATAGTGTAAATACCCATAGATACACATGTATATAATTATGTATATTATATCTTGTATATATGGATATATTTATATGGATATATATGGATATATATATATACATATACATAGACTGTATATATATATATATGTAATATGCATATGCACATCTTCAAAACTTCACACGTTTGTTTCCAAATAACCTTTGTGAAGTCTCTATTCTTGGCCACTTGGCCCTGGTGCCTCAGGTTGAGTCTGGCCAGTGCTTCAGGGAGACGCGTCACAGGCGGCAAATTATATAAATTTAGGGATCTCCAAAAGATTGGATAGAAAAAACAGAACAAGGTAAATCATCTAGACAAGTATTTAGCAGTTTACCGCCCCCCGCTCGCCGCCCCAAGCTACCCTGCCTGGGGTCGGCGGCAGGGGGCGTAGCCCCTTAATTCGGCTCCGCCGGCTCCCCACGAGTGGCTTGCCCTACGAGCGTCCCAGAGCGACTAGAGCTCTAAGGTGAGGCGCGCCCCAAACCGCCGACCCTCCGACGCCGGGCCCCGAAAAACACCAAAAATCCTTCAGGAGGGTGGGGGAGAGCTTTTTGGCCGGGATCCGGGTCGCTCATAAGCGTCTCCAAAAGCATTCCCCCCCCCCCGTTTTGAGGGTACCTAAAATCGGAAAAAAGCGCCGTTTTGACACATTTTTCGGACGATTTTTCGCTTTTCGAAAGTCACAAAATGCTGTAAATTACAGTATTTTTGCGTTTTGACGTCTTTTGCGGGAGCAATGAAAAAAAGCAGAAAATGCTGTAAATACCAATACTTTTTAGACCGGAGATGCACAAAACACCGCAAATACCAGTGTTTTTGAAAGCCAAGCAAAAAAACACTGTAAATTATAGCATTTTTGGCAAGTTGATCGCAAAAACTGCTGGTATTTACACGAAACACTGTAAATAGCGGTGTTTTGGCCACTTTTGGGCGCTGAAACGCTGGTATTTACACAGTTTTTTGCCCGTGACGGCGCCAAACCCCTGTAAATTACAACATGTTTTCCACTTTTTGAACCGATGTTTTGCCTTGATGAACGCAAAAAACGCTGGTATTTACGCGTTTCCCAAAAAATCGAAGATCGTGACGTGAACGAAACCCTGTAAATAACAGTGTTTTAGCCACTTTGGGGGACTAAAACTGTGGTATTTACGCGGGTTCTTGCCAGCTGACAGCGCAATATGCTGTAAATTACAGCACTTTGTGCGCTGTTTATGTTCAATTTTAAACGCGCGATGCTTTCACATGTTCTTTGCATTATTTTGCACTCTTCCACAAGAAACAACGTTGCAGATTGAAACTGGACGACAGCGTGACCCGAAAGAAAGCTGGAGGGAGGAGACGCACAGAAGCTTTTACCCACACACACAGGGGCTTTTACACAGAAAGTCTTTACACAAAGGAGCTTTTTACATACAGAAGGTTTTACACAGAGAAGTCTTTACTCTAAGGTGCTTTTGCAGACAAACGTCTAGGAGCTTTAACTCACAGAAGTTTTTGCACGAAGAAGTCTTTACACAGAGGGCTTTTTACACACAGACGCGTTTGCACACAGAAGCTTTTACACAGAGAAGCCTTTACACAGAGGAGCGTTTACACACCAAAGCGTTTACACACAGCAAGCTTTTACACACGCAGGGGCTTTTACACATTTACACAGAGTAGCTTTTTACACACAGAAGGTTTTACACAGAGAAGTCTTTCCTCTGAGGAACTTTTTCACACAAACGTCTTGGAGCTTTTACACACAAAAGCTGTTACACAAAGAAGTCTTTACACAGAGAGCTTTAACACACAGACGCGTTTACACACAGAAACTTTTACACAGAGAAGTAGCCTTTACACAGAGAGTTTTTATACACGGAAGCTTTTACACACAGAGAAATCTTTACAAAGACGTGCTTTCACACAGAGAAGCTTTTACACAAAAAAGTCTTTACACAAAGTGGTTTTTACACACAGAAACTCTTACACACAAAAGCTTTTACACAGAGAAGTCTTTGCACAGAGGCGCCTTTACACGAAGTAACAAGTTGAAATCGGCAGCAGTTCTTTAGGAAAAACCCTTCGCAGGAGCTTTCGGGAACTCACTTACTCCCCAAAAAATCGTCTATTCCAACAAATACGTTCCAAAAAACCTAAGGAATATATTTCTGAAGCAGGTCCTCATTCAGTAACTTTCACGCCCACACTGCGATGAAATGGAGGGCCGAGTGGTCCGGCGGAGCCGACGAGGGGCGTCAGCCCAAAAATAATTTCTTTTACACACTCTTATGATCTCTTATGCTAAGTATGCCAATGATTGCTCCCATGCCCCGTTGGATGATTTCTGCTCCTTGACGATGGTGAAGCCATCCAGCTTCGCTTCCATGGCCAGGGTCATCAAGCGCGCGTCCTTGACACCTGCCTGCGATGAGGATCGGTGAGGATCACCAGCTGGGATCCCGAACCACTACATGTGCACACAGTTCTAAGATGACTGACCCACAAAATTCATGATTCAGTTTGGCACTAGTTGACCAGCTGGGAAAAAAAAACTGGGTACTAGTACAGGACATTGGTGCCCAACTGTTCATTGGCATACCCATAATTGCCCATATCCTGGTGGGAAGATGTCGGAAGCTACTGCCACATGATCATCCATTGTTTTTTGGTTGGTAAATTACCCCCATTCTTGCTGGCTAGTATCACCATTTTTCAAGCGCCTATTTCAGACAAAAGTACATTACATCCTATAAGTCGATAACTATAAAAAATGTTTTAAGATGTTCTAAGTCTAGATGTTTTGCTATGTTTTGCTTGGTGCAGAAGTTCATCCCCTCTTGTTGAAGTTCCTCCATTTTCTTTGTCCAATGCACTTTCCACCGGGCCTTGGACAGCACATGTGCCGCTTTCTCGCGGCGTGCCGTGGAGCTGCTGGACATCTGAGCGGGGTCACATGGAGCGAGGTGGCCGAAACCCTGGCGTCGCCATGTTTCATCGCAAAATCGCGGAATTCTGAGGCAAACCCATTCCCACTGATAGCCAAAGCCGCCTGAAGGAAGGAGAATGTCTTTCCAAAGACCTGCGCAAAGAGATGGATGGTCACCAAAAACGGTTGGATGGGATGCCCCAAACATCAAACAACTTGTTCCGTTTCGTTTCCAGGCCATGCCAAGAGGTAAATGAAATATATGAAATATATGTTTTATTTTATATTAAAATATATTGAAATATATTAAATATTAAATATATTAACATATGATAAAATTCTGGTCGAAAACTATCATCCCATGAAGTTGGTCAAATTTGGGCCTCATGCGCGCTGTCGTCGCTGAGCACCTGAATGGCCTACGAGAGGGTGAAACCCCAAAGTGGCTTGAAATGGCTTAGATTTCAGGTGGGTATCTTTTCATATCTACTCTTCGTCTGGCTTGAAATGCGTTCATTTAAGGGAACCCTTCGCTCCAACCAAAACAGCCATCTCCAAAAATGGCGGATTTACCCCAAACAATGTATTCTTTCACATGGCGGGTTAAATAGATACAGAGTCGGAGTTAAATTGACAGTGTATCATATTGATTGTTCAGGGGGATGGCGCATTTGATCTCATAGCAGTGCTGTTCATTCGGAACACTTCATCCTTCACGTGACATGCTGAGGATTTTTCTTCCATCGCCGAGGATATCCGATGTTTCTCGGCTGCACAGGCTGCACGGTTCCACAGGTCTTCGGTGTGATCCCGGAGCTCCACCTTGGTCACCGACTCGGTCTCATCGGCGCGGGTCTTCTGACGCTTCTCCCACTCCTGAGACAAAAAAAGCACCGGGAGACCGGGCTCGATCCCTTCCATGCGTAAAATGGTGCACTGCGAGGGCCATAATGTGGTGATTGATGCTAAAAATATGCTGATAAATATGCTGATGAGTAATAATATGTGTATATATATATATACAGCCATATATTATATAGATATTACAGTATATCCTATTTGAATCTGTTTACCATCTATTCACATCGGTTTTCAGATATGCGAATAACCCTTTTCTTGGCCATGCTATCAGCATCTGCGCCCGGGCCTTGGCCTTGACACCGCACTTCTCTTTCACTTCCTTGGCAAACCTCGAGGCCGTTCGCATCGACGGAGCCGAAAGCTGAGCGATTGCTGTCCCAAGATCCCGGCGCAATGTCTTCACCCATGGAAGCGCGAGAATCTTTGATGTTCTGACAAGAAAAGGACGACTGGAAATCCGTTCAACGGTTCAACATCGTTACGTCGTTCAACCGTGTTCAAAACACAAAGTCATCAATTGCACACAGCTGACGTCAATCATACACTTTGGATGGCAAACCCAACTGGAGTACTGCGACCAAACAAAAGGACATCAGATTCATGTGTAATTAGTCTTTGAAGTGCGTTGCTTTGCCGCCCATCTGAAAAATGCATTCGGAGAGGGAAATTCTGATGGTTTCTACTATAGCTGGGGCTAGTGCACCTGCTTCAGCTGCATGCGTTCCGCATCTGCAGCGGTTTTTTGTTCTTTCTTCGCTTCAATCTGGCGAGTCAGCAATGTGCAAGTCCTACATTTCTGCAAGAAATGCTGTATGTCTTTGTCTGAAGATGGGGTACCTCAATTGCAATGGATTATTATTCTCATTTGTGCCGTAAAAACATGACAAATTTGGGCTGCACCCCATGTCTGGACAATTCCCTATTTGTGATGATACAGGGTTGCGCAAGTCCGCCTCATAGACAATGTTTTCACGTACTGTTCGTGATTGCTGATGGGGGAAAAGACCAGCAATCATCACCTCACACTGCCTCATACAGCACTAGCCTTCCCAAATCCAATGGAATTTCAGGACGAATCAAAACTGAAATTCATTTCAAAATTAGTCCTCTGCGTGTGATGCCCACCGTAGCAAAAACGGTTTGACACTTTTTGTGACACAAATTCTGACATACGAGTATCTTGGGACATCTATCCGGACAAATAAACTCTAACATTTATCCTTTGATATACTCTAACATATATTCTGACATACATCTTGACATATAGACATCATCTCTGACATAAAATCTGAGTTTTAATCTGGCCGATTTCTGCCATGTATTCTGACATATACTTCAGACATGCAACTTTCATGTGACATGTTTCACCATACGTACATTACAGGTGGCTATACCACCAACCACCTTTTGGGCACGTCCGGTGCACACAAATCGAGGCGGAGGCATGTGCTGAGACCACCAAAATCCAGGTGGCAAAAATGGAACGGATGTGGATGATATACGGATGATATAGAGGGACTACTTCCAAAATGATTTTTAAATAACGCTGATCCCCATTCGATGGACCTGGACCTTCGCGGCATCAATCTCCTCTCGCTTGGCCTTACAATGGCCAATGGCTACAGTGGAAAGGTCGGGTTTCAGCTGGGTACAATGATTTTCAAGGATGGTTTGAGGCCACCTCAATCCTCAAAGATCCTGAAAGTGAAGGGTTGCAGGGCCTGCATTGACAAAATTGGGCCATCGTGGGGCCACCGCTGGGCCACCCAGGCGGCGAGCAACTTTTCGTATTCCGCTTTGTTGATGTTCTCATCGGTCTCATCGGCTGGAAGTGCCGAACTCCCAAAAATGACCCACAGAATCTCTGTCGCTGATTGGTGATGTTACAACTCCGGAAAAACCCAAAGGTTTAGGATGGATGTTTCAACTTGGGAGGCCCAAAAAAGTGCAAGCTTTTTGCAAAAATGTCTACCAAAAAACTCCAGGTGGATGCTTTCCGTCTGAGTTAAACAAGAATTGGTGGAGATTCATCCCCCAGCCTGCAGCTCATGCAAGCTCCGCTGGAAGTCTTCTTTCAAACCTAGCACCACATTCTCAGCACATGTCAAAATGGCGCCAATGTCAGGGGGGTTCTGCGAAAATCAAAAACAATCCAAGGATCCAAAGCTTGTTGGTGGCTTTAAGCCCCTCTGAAAAGTATAAATCAATTTGGATCATCACCCCTTGCTGGATGACATATAAATATGTATATATGTTATATGTAATTTTAAATATATAGAGAGAGAGAGAGACAGAGACTTGTATGGACAACATCTATTATATGAAACAACCAACCAGATTGGCCATTGTATATATGATTGAAAGCTACCTGGCGGCAGTTTGGTGGTATCCCAAATCCATCCCGCACCTTGCAGAACACCTTCCACATTTCCTGGCGTTCGGTTGGGGTTGCACATTGTCATAGCTTTTTTGCCACAAGTGGCCACTGGGTGCTTAACCCTTAGCAATGATCTTGTGTATAATATATATATATAATATCATTATTTACTATCTGGTTATTTAACAGTTCGCCATGGAAAGATCCACCATTTTTAAGTTCGGTAAACCATCTATTTCTATGGGCCATCTATCCCATGGCAAACTGTTACATAACCAGATGCTGGAGCCATGGGGGCCATCGGTTGGGATCTCCACATTGGATCCCAGGAGCAAGCTGATGTGCTGTTAAAAGGCACACTGAACCAAGACAGATGTTTCTTGGATATAGCAAGTTGATACAATTTTATAAGTGCTGAGCTCATACAAAAGCAAGTGTTCATCAATCGGGCGGACAGGTCAGGCAGAAAGTCGTGTGGGTTTCCATCTGATTTTCCACCACTCCACATCTTCCCATCCAGCTCTGCCTGTGCTTGGATCTTGCAGCAACATCGCAACTTGTCGACCATTCTCAGAGCTCAAATCACCAGCATGCCTGTGGATCACCCGATTTCTGGATTTCTGGATTTATGAATGGACGTACCCTCTAGTAATTTAACATAGCTATTGAAAATGGCCATTTATAGTGAGCTTTCCCATTAAAAATGGTGATTTTCCATAGCTATGTTAGTTTACCGGAGGGTAAATCCACAAATCCACAGAGTCAGACTTAGTGACTTAGTCGGACCTATCGGACCTATCAACTGACGGGCAACCAGGCCAAGGCCTGGCCAAGATCTTTTGCAGAGTCTGGGAGATGGCCTTGGAGCGTAGCAAGGGGCAGGATGGGCCAAGTCATTGGGGTCATTGGGGGGTATTTATATATATATATATATATTTGCCCAACAAAATGGAGAAATAAATTACAACTATGACTTTACATACTTGACTTTTCTGTGTTTGGAGATATCCCTATACTTGAATAGATTAGGATGGTGAGTGAAAACTGCCCAAAACTCGGGTCTTCTGGCGCCCAAGGTTTTGACCCCTACCCAGAAGTTTTCAAAAAAAAGCTTGCAGCAAGACGAAATGCCAAGCTTTCATGTGCCAGACACTGCTATCTGCTAATCCCTTTCCTGCCTAGCCAGGTGGTCAGAAATATTGATCCCGCTCTCAATATTCAGTACCATCCTAAGAGGATTGGTGGTTTCAACCCTGCAAAACATATGTCATCGGGGATCATCATCCCAAACATGTTTCGAAATATTATATATATATATGTTGCTCAGTAGGTATATATATATATGCACAGATATATATAATTATATACAATTACATTTTGAAACCATCAACCAAATCATTGGCCATATCAATAAATCCCCATGTTATACTCATTTTAGATCGGTAAATCTGTCTATGATCATGCCAATATCAACCGATTTAGTATTGCATTCATCTTACCCTCTGATGATATAACATAGCTCTGGAAAATGGCCCATCGATGATTTATAGATGATGTATGTTAGATGATTTACCGCATTTGCTTTACCTATTAAAAATGATGATTTACCATGATTTACCATGATTTACCATGATTTACCTATTAAAAATCATGAGTTGCCATTTTTCCATACCAGAGCCTAACCCTCGTGGTGATCCCCAGCGGCCGTCTGTTGCGAGAGCTGCACGAAGGAAGTCCCCCCTTCCTGGGCCGTGCAGCCTATGGGACCCCGCTGGGACCTGGATCCCCTGGTGAAATCAGCCAGGTGCAATACCCAAAGGATCAAAGCCATCCTAGGTTACTATCCAGCACCATCCAGATCCCTTTGTTTTTCTTACTAGAACCCAGTCCTGGTTATAATATGTTATAATTTGTTATACTGTAATCATTGACTATCTGAGTGGTCCCATTCTTAAAAGGGTATCATCTGTGCAAGCGTTCACCCTTTTTTCAGATGCTTCTTGACGCAACTAATCTTGTAAAGCAACGCTACGTCCTGTTATTTGCAGGCACCTGGTAACCAACATCGGGAATCCAAGTCACAATCACATCGTTGGCAGACTTCACCTGAGTCAAAAAAGACCAAGCTTTTGAACCATTTGGAAATCAATGGATTGATTTAATGGAACATCTACCGGAAACCATATTGTGTTTAACCCATCGTATGGGTCCTCCACATTCTCCTTCAACCGATTCTGCGACCTTTGGGGTGAGGTTCGAGCTTGCTATCATTCTTTAAGTTCTCCGGCTGGACCAACACCGAACTAACTGGAATGCAATGATGATCAAACAACAATTTCTAATATGGGGATTCTTAAAATAGGCATAGGGGTTCCCCAAAACCATACTAAAATGGTCTAACTTTGGATGATTTGGGGGTACCCCTATTTTAGGAAATCCCTATAGCAATGGTGTCCTAGAAAAGACGTGGAGTCGTATTGTCATATTGCCATCGCACTGTATTCGCGTCTGCTTCAATGCATCATAATGCATCAGCCTTTTGTCGTCAGAAAAAAACAAATAATGGAAATCCAACTGATTTTACTCGAAGCTTCCAGGTGCCAAACGCTTTGCAGGTTCTTCAGAAGATCGCTCTCGTCTTCTCGGAACTTTGCCTGCCCACGAAGAGAGTTACAGTGGGCCAAAACCCTGGCAAAGACCGGGCAAAGATCAAGAGGGTTGACCCACATATCGCACGTCAAGACTATCACGGAGATTTTTCGAATGGATAGAGCTTACACATATTGCAAAACACGGCTAACCCCCGAATCTTCGGGAAGTCGCTGTCCTTGAAGAGCACATCCAATCCTTGTGATTTATTGTCGCTGTAACAAGTGTGAGACGCCCATCAGATAATCCCTGGTTATTTCTAGCCCAATACCTGAGGATTTATCTTCCAAGTCCCGCCCAAAGTCCAAAGTGATTTCCCAAGGCACCAGCTGCTTTTTCCGGAGAGCAATGACTTCATCCATGGATGCCTACGAAAGACAGGGAAGGCAAGCTTGGATCATCCACTGGATCAAACACGGCTTCAAAATGTTTCGAATGTATGTATTCTACATATACAGTGTATACAGTATACAGTATGTGTACTGTTTGTTTGTATATGTGTGATTATACATACATGCATTACATTACACTACACTACATTACATTAGATTACATTATATTACATTGCATACATACATGTACATGGGGATGGGTCAAAACTCAGTACCCCTGGTGAACAGCAAAATAGCTGGAAATCATCCCCCTACAAATGATGTATATATACATATTATAATACATATATATATATGTTTTTTGTATGTATTGTAGTCAGAATATCAGCATACAAAACAAATTAGACTCGTTGGAGACAGCCAACCAGTTTTCAGACACCGATTTGAAATCGAAGCATTTGATGGCTGGCACCTAGATGGATTTGCTTCCATTGGAGCCTTCAGACATGGATCGTGTTTGTTTTGATCGGTCACCTGGGTACCCCCAAACGAAGGATGATATAATCGGATATATGAAACGGACGGAAGTTTAGAAGTCAAACTTCCGACTTATGGACAGGTGCAGCAACACTCCGCTCTGCCATCCATGAGTCACAACAACTCACCTCTCCTATAGGTTTCCTATCTTTTAAACTTCCGCCACCGCCTTGTGCAGTACTACTTATATACATGTATATAATATGTATATATATATATACATATGACCAGCAAATATAGGTAAGGATCAAATCTTGATATCTCAAAAAAACAGGAGTCATGCCACAAAACACAAAAATCTGCCTCGTTCTTCTCCACGTCCTTGCCGAGGTTTTTATACCTTGCATTCTGCGCAAGGAAATATCCACCAACATCTCAGCAAATTTGTGGCCGTCACTTCTGCCACCATGTGTTTATTCCTGAACACCCATCACCCCCAAAAAAACATGATCTTCCACAAGAAGTTCAACCAATTCAACGCCAATCTCAGTTTCCCAGCCTTTCCGGACAAAAATCCACAACTCGTTTCTCCACCAGAACCCGGGCATCCCGACTCCACCGCTAGACGTGCGCTGTCGGCACTCAGCTGCGAGACTTTGGCCTCCATCTCCTCGAGTCAAAAAGAATACTGTGATTACTGTTAATTGTTTTTATCCAAAGACATGGGGATTGAATCAATTGAACCATCAAGAATGGTGGGGTTATCTGCATTTGCGCTTTTTGCCATGAAACTTTGGGATTTAACAGTATTTAACCAACAAAATTGGGATTCAACCAGCAACTAACAATATCTTCTGGGAGATGCGAGAAAGCCAACTGGAAAAAAATGAATTTGACAATGACAGCGGAGAATTTGCTACCAAAAAAAATTCAACTAGAGATGGGAATCTAACTGTCACCACTGAGAAGTAGGGATTCGAGCATGAGAAAGTGCGACTTCGCCACCCGAAAAATCAGGAAACTAATGAAGGACTGGGAATATTTAAAGCAACAAAGTTGCGACTCAAACAGCAAACTTTGACATGGCTTCGATATGTGTTTTTGGTTGGATTGGCTATCACTTCAGCCCTGGCTTTTTCGGGAACCATTGGCCAATAAACATATCCTGTGGCGATCGCACATGATCTTCCCAAAAAGGGCTCTCCCATTGCCATACCTCTGGAGAAATTGGTGAAACCAATTAACCTGAAGAGTTCGGCCACCAATCTTCCCCTTCTCCGACCGAAAAGTTCGTGATTCCAGTGACGTAATGCCAGTGAGGTAATACCAATGCCGGTGACATGTTCAGATCGATGCCTTGATCTTGGCTTCGGCTGCTTCCACCTTGGATCTGCGGAGGTCGATGTTGAATATGTGGCAAAAACATATCCCAAAAAGGAACACGAATTTCACGTCACGGAAATTTCATATGCTTTTCATCTGCTGATCCCTCTATATACTTTTCTTCTCATTTATCTCATTTGGTGTCGCTGGCATAGCCCTTGAGGCTTTCGCAGAAGTGGCTTTCTCATCTCCATTCTCCTGATAGCTTGTGCAGCAGACTCAGCACCAGAATCAAGCAAGAAATGGCTGGTTGTTGTAAGGCTTTGACTATCTTCAACCATCTTTAGTTCTCTTTAGCCATCTTTAACCATCCAACTGCTGGATCCATGAATGCTTGTAGATGCTTGAACAGAGTATGAATAGCCTGCTGTGGTCCATAAAATCTCAATATTGGTGGATCCACTTCCCTGGATGCGCCTTGCACCAGCACTTGTACTTCTCCATCAATTCCTCTTCCTCATTGGCCTGAAGGACTACGGTTTTTGCGGAAGAGCAGGTTCCGAGTTTCGGAATTGCAAGAAAGAAAGGGCAATGTAACATCATAATGAAATGATCGTATGCTACATATATCCCCCAGACGATTGCTACGTACAATTGCTACGTATATCCCCCAAACAATTGACGGCCCACCTCGCTCTCCAACTGCTCCTTCATGCCCTGCAACAAGGTCAGCACCTGCCGAATCGGGGTATTCAGGTTTTGGAACGAAAAGCAAATGCCTAAAGACGGCCGTTTTGGATTGCAAAAGGATCAAATATTTGGCCAAGTATGGATGTAACCCACCTGAAGCCCACTGTGGGTAGCATCAACTATATACTGGCGTACACGTCCAACTCCCAAATTTTGTGGGCGAACGCGGCAAACCCCTTCGGATTAAGCGCACCTGGTCAATTTTGGTACGCGAAAGCAATGGTTCCACTCGGATCCATCTTGAAACTGACTACAGAGAGGCAAGTCTGTTATGGAAAGGAACATCCACTGGCTCTCTCCAAAGTTGGCTTTTTCAACCAGTAGATTATCATATCTATTGAATTGTAGCAGCTTGCCTTAGTGAGTATGTTTTTCCCCAAGAAGATGCTATAAGCAACACAGCCACAGATAGCCTTTCCGAAACCCAGTGCCGGCATCAACGGCCTTTGTCACAGGTCGCGCCCTTGCTTCCTGGCAGGATTGGCTGGTGAGGTCCTTGTTTCTATCCGTCATGTAACACTTTGCCATGGAAATGACCCATTTATAGATGATTATAGATGATGATTTACCTATTGGAAATATATAGTGATGCATGTTACATTACCGCAGGGTAAATGCCAGTTTGACAAATTTGAACTGAAAGTTGATTGACTAAGTTGTTTGGGTCGAGATTCTGCAGAAGGGAGGAAATAAGTGATTGAAGGTCATGTTGTCATCATAGAACCCCCAAGCAAAGTCTCGCTGTGAGAGGGGATGTGTGAAAGTGTTTCAACTAACAAACCTCCAGGAGCTAGCAATGCCAAGATGGTTCAATCCCCGAATAGAATTCCTTGTCAACTCGACTCGAGTAAATTCTACTGGTTAGTTCATGGGGATCCCCATACTCAGTTTTGAGAGTCCCAATAAATCCTACAAATATAAACCCATACTGTACAGTATCACCATCAGCCAAGGTTATTAAGCATTGGTCACTGGTGGAACCAAGAACCGCAAAGGACATTGAAAAATGTAGACCAAAAAACCAAAACATGGATGTGATGAAACGTCGAGGTGGCTGGGGAGGGCGCAAAAATGGAACGCCAGCGGCAAAATTGGACAACAGCAAGGCAATGGAACATCCCCAATTCGTTGCTGTTACCGACTGTTCCCTTCAAAAATCTTTAAAATGGTGGGTTGCCATTTCCAGCTTGGACTTTAAGGGGCATCCCCTATGACATAGGGATCTCGCAGTACATGACTAGGGGGATCACCCCCAACATGGCTGAAGGATAACTGGGGGCCAAGTGGGAGGCGGTTTAGCTTCTCATGAGATTGCGAGTTTCTCATTAATTAGAAAAATCATGAAAAATCTGGAATTTCTCATTAGGTTGCTTCAAGCGAACATTTGCAGGGAAGTATATTGAGTTCTGCCATTGCAACCTGGGTTTCCACGTTTCCGCCTCCATATCAAAGGTGAGCAATGAGCTGCTGGGCGCCAGCAGCGTCACAAGCAGCGCCCCCTCAAAGGCATCATCGATCCAATTATCTGTCTAGGCTGCCGACCTACAGTATCTATCTACACACATGTATATAGAGATACAAGAGATTAGAGTATCAAGAGGGGCATGTTACTAAGGGCCCATGGCTTCTTCCATATATTGGTTCCTGTTGGTGGTCATGCCAAGTCATGCCTTGAAGAAACGATCTGAGTTCCCGTACCAACATGGGTGCCTGGCAGCCAGCTCAGAATACCATGGTTTTTACATTGATGGGAACCCGGAAACATCCGGAAACTATGCATGGCTTTCTTAAGTTCCCATAACTGCACACCTGGGGTGTTTCTTGTTGCCAAACCAAGTCTTTTAATCCGGTGGACCAATGATCCTCGACAACCCCAGCCACCCTCAAATGAGCTAAATCTCCATGGCAAAACAGTTTTTTTTAGGTTCCCCATCTCCTAGAGTAGTCAGGTTAGAAACCTGAAACCAGTGAGGTTGTTGTGAGTGTCGTTCTAATGTTCCCAAAGTAATTGACGTTGAGTGGGATGAGAGCATTTACCACATCTAACATAGTATACTTGCAATACTGTAAACAAGCAAAAGTCCATCAGCATATGGCCGTGAGGACATATGCACGAGTGACCACTAGCCCATTGAGGAAGTACCCAGCCCACCTGCATGGCTTCAATGAATCAGGTCCCCGTGGAGTCAAAACTGGACCCCAACTGCGATTCGCATCAGTGGCAACGGCAGATTCAATGGCAAATGGCAGCTCTGTCCCAAAAGTCGATGCTGTTTTCCATCAATCTCCATATAGGATGTAAATAATATTAGATAATACACATAGAACACAAGCCCCAAACCCAATCAGTTCAGATCAAAATACAATAACTAAAATTCATCATCCTTATCATTACTTTTATTTTTACTCTTATGATTACTAATATTATCTAATATTATCGTTCTGAATACAAATAATACAGTATTCACACTTCGGTTTGACCATGGTAGTAACTACCAGCAACTACCAGTAACTGCCAGTAACTACCAGCAACTACCAGTAACTGCCAGTAACTACCAGTAACTACCAGTAGCTGCCAGCCTCAAAAGCCCCCGTGGCATCCCTTTTTT